TATCCCCAATTTCCGGATTACTTTTTCAGTGAAATTAATCCCTTAAGTGTTTTTCTGGTGATGATTTTTTATCTATTGATGTTATGGTGTTTTACAGTATTTTGATGGTGCTCTTGCTTGACGATAATATCTGGCCTCTAGAGTCAGAGTTTTTCACAGGCTGAATATAGTACATGCAGCTGGAGAATTTCTTCTTGGATAAAAAAAAACTTAGGAAATTGTGGTTTTGTGTTTTTTCCAAGTGTCAGACTGTATAAAGAAGTGAAGATTTTTTTTTAACGTTTTTTTTCTGCTTTGATACAAGTTTCATGTGATGATGCACTGTTGCTACATGTGGTTTTGATGGTTCTCCACTTCGGTGATCTTGCACACGCAAGGCAGGAAATTGGGTTCAATTCATAATCATATGGAACAGGTTGGATATCATGTGAGTTACTTGATAACCCACCTGGCGCAGGAGAAGAGACAAAAAGAAGAAGGCTGAAAGCTGATTTACATCATGCTATGTGATAACAGGAGCACCATTGCTCTTCAGAGGCTCTGTCTCTGTCTTATCTTTCTAAGAAGTATCATGGATAAGCTGGAAATGATTTAACGCAATCAGTAGATGAGAGGAATATCAATACTATTACCCGCATGGAAAATTTGTTCTTTATCAGATTTTTTGCCCAACTGAGGCATGACATGGTTGACAAATGGATGCCGCTGCTCAACAAATTTCCTGGAAAAACTATTGTTTAGTACTGATGCCTCAGATCTTTGCCATCTTAAAAAGGCTTTTAAGCACAGGCTGTCTGATATTAGGAGAACTGTCAAGGAGTAATATATTCCATATTTAATGGCAAGGGCATTCTGAACATTTACAGAGTGAATGAACCCGTTTTAAATTTCCAAATGATGTAACCACGAGCATAATTTGCTGGAAACAACAGTGGTACCTTAAACAAATAGATACCAGCACAAATGTCTTTTTATTTGTTATATATACTCTAAAGCATACACAAATCTCTATTGTGAGGATATAACAAGTATTACACGAACAGCAGTTATTAGTTTCCTGGAATTCACTTTTTATTGTAAAAAACCCATAAATGCTCGCACCATAAGAATTGCAGAAAAGGAAGCTGTAGACTCTCCTGGTAAACACAGAGGACATTTGTATGGATTGGTTTCCTGTTAGCAAAGAACCACATTTTCCACCTGTAGAATATGAGATCACCATGTATGACACTCCACACAGAAAAAAGCTTGAATTCCTGATAAATTTCTATAATTCATTCCATGGAGATCATTTGTGCATATATCCGATGTATTATTAATACATCATAACAGTGCTTTCAACCATGGAAAACTTAACCAGACTAAGAGGGAAGATAGACATGCACAATTTACCTTATGTTTGGCCCGGGGAGCAACCTTAGTGGTAACCTTAAGAATCGACCATTGATCTCACCTATAAACTGACCATGGTTCGGGTCATCAAGAGTCTTCTATATCGAGTCTATAATGGATTGGGATTTCTTTTCAACTGTGCTTGTGGTAGGCAGAATTTCATTTAGTATTTTGTACATAATTATTGATGATTGCTATTTAGTTGGTAACTTCCTTTACGCATGTGTTGTGTTCACATCGGACCTAAGTTAGACTTGAAGTAAGCTAAATCATTTAATATCACAAAATGGCAATATATTCAAGTTTTTTTTTTTTTTTTTTTTTTTTGTCACTTGTGTAATGGTAAGGAAAAAGTAAAGCAATTCTAAAGAGTATTGGAGAAAGGCCCTGTAATGAATAAACAAATAGAAATTCATTTGTCAGTACCTATAGTTCTAAATATTAACTGGATTTACCAGTCAATATTTCATCTCCTGGCAGTCAGACTTCATCAGGGAAATGAAGGCTGTGATAGGTATGTCAAGCCCTGGTGTAGTATCACAAGTATTTTCGAGGTGGAGTAGAATTTAGATCAGAATTGCTCTCGACACAGTCAATTGATGAACCAAATAGCAGAAAGAGAACTGGCAGGGATCAGAGTATGAACCCATGCAGCGCCATTATGTCTTTAGGACCTTTCAAAGTTAACTGGTTCAGACTGTATTAGTTATTGCTGTGAAAGCTTGATATTGAACCAACTCCCATGTGTTCGCTTGATTTTACTGAAGTAAACACCAACAGTTATTGGCCCTCCTTAATTAGTTGTGATGGTACCTTACATAATTAACTGTAACATAGATAAAGCTTGCTCCACAGAAGCAAATACTTTGCTATTGCTTGGTGTGTGATATCGATTGCCATATAATCTGCAAAGTTCACAGTATGTAGTTATCTAATCAGCTTGTGTCTCACTACAATCAATCAATGTATCTATCATTGGACTTCTAAAAAAGGCCCATTGTGCATTGTAGATCCATGTGAGGAACCAATTATTTTTAGTAACAAAACCTATGTTTGGGGGAAGGGGGGAGGGGTCAAAGGAAGCACTTATCAATATGGCTGAAAATGTCCTGCTTTGAATCAAAATTGAATCCAGCTACTATGCCATATCTCAAGATGGGATGATTAAAGGAGAAAATGGATTCAATTTTTAACAAAAAAAAAACCTTCGCCTTTAAAATTACTGGCTACAGGCCTATGTCTCCTTGTATTTTGTAAACAATCTGATTCTTTGGTTTATAGTGTTTCCTATGTTTAGATATGACCATTTGGCAAGTGCATTTGATAATGTGAAAAGACTGATTAGCCAATAATGTTGTTGTTTTCAGTTTATTTCTTAACAAAGTGACTGAGAGTTGCATGGTTCTGGGCATCTAAGAAGCCCAAGATATTATTGCATTGTCTGTATTCATAATCATATTTAACCTATATTTATCTTATATAACTCTTGGCTAAACTCTTGGCCATATCTCTTTCCATTCATGGACACCAAAGAACATGGAGGTACCTTAGAGGACTGGAACCTTATCCTTGATTTGGAAACCACCAATTATAAAACTCCTTGCATATGTATGTTAGGAAATGCAACCAGAAATGCATGGATACTTGTAAGGTAGCCTCTGATTGGTACTTTGAATTTCCAGTGCACCAATGCATTAGAGCTAGGGTATGATGAGAGGAATATCTATATAAGTTGAGAGCCCTGCATGGTGATAATAAATTCTTATATGGCATACTCAATAAAATCATGTAAAATGTAAAAAAAATAATAGTAATTAAATGAACAATCGAAAGAACAAAAATTGCTGTTGGGTTACATTCCCATTAGTTGTTTAGGTATTGATATCTAGTTGCCATATTTTAACCTGGACAGTTTTAAGTTGAACCTGATGTGAACACTCCATATTATTACCTGAAGCAGCCTCATGGGCCATAGATTGGATATACCTCTTTATCTCTTGTGTAACATTTCACAAACTGAAGGTATTTCTGCTGCTAGTTTTATAAGGTCCTGACCTTAATTTTGCTAGTTGAAGTTTTCTCATCATGCATGATTTATAATATGTTATTTTATCCATGTATTTAATGTAGAATTACATCATTACAGCTAACCTGACACACTGCCCCAGGCATGTTTGATTGATGACATCTGATTTAGTTTTTTCCTGGTTTTATTCTGTATAACAATGTATCACCATTAATGACTTATGCTCTGTGACAGTTGACAGTACTATGATGATGTATTACCATATTGTCTGCACTTCAGCCTCATTATACTGTCTTATGTTTTAACAGGAAAGAAAAGTAAGCAAATAGATTTAATGTAGTCACTGTGGTTTCTCATTTTTAATTTAGAAAGACATTTATTTAATTCCAAGAAACATCATCATAAATGTTTAAAAAAAACTCAGTTTCACTTACTTGCTGTGATTATAAATTAAAAGGGGGTGAATAACCCTAATTACTCAAAGGCACAAACTCTGTGCCTTTGGAGAAAATAGTCTCAGTAATGCTGACTTGTTTTGTTAAAAAAATTAATCCAAATATTATGAAATGATATTTTTAACAACAAAAAGAAAGAATAGAATAAAAACAGAAAAAGAAAAGAGGATATAAAAAGTGAATCAGCAATATCACTTTGCTTTGTTTTTTGTTTTTCATTGGTTTTCTTGTGAAGAAAAGTATTGTTTTGAATGACAAAGTATCACTTTCACTTGGCATTTAATGATGATCTTTGTGTGGGTCAGAGGTATGATACTTAACAAGGTAGAGATGCAGATATGTCACTGGTGCCTATAGATCACACACAATTGGTATTTGATTTCATGACTTACAGCAACCAATAAATTTGAAAATTCCATCTCCCTCGTATGGATTGCACAATTAAAGATTTTCACCATTCCGTTGAAAGGGCATCCAAGCACTTCTGTGCCAATAAAAACTGATTGATTAAGATTGTCTGAAAGTCAATACCCTAATGAAACTTGTTTCTCATTATCCATTATAACTTTTGTTATGCTGCATGCCTCTATTGTATTTCTGAAAAGATGCATGAAGTATCATGTTTGTTCAGATATGTGGTGATGTTTTTGTTTAAAAAATCCTGTTTTGTTATAGATGAAATACTATGAGTTTTAGCATTTTATGTCCATTTGTTGTGTCAGATGCTTTTCATTGACATATGTACTGAAGAAGTGCACATCATGTTCAGCTACAATTTTATCCATTGTCCCTGTGTTTAGGAGATTGGGCCACATATTTCTACAGATAGTTCCATATGTCTTCTAGTTACCTGGTATGCCAGGAACTGGGTGGTGGAATGAACTACTGTACAGTACAATTTTTAGGTGTAATGCCATCCTGAGGCAACAAGCAAAATGTCAGGAACAGTTTTTTTTATTGACAGCGCAAAGTTTACTAGGCTTGATTTCGCTTGAAAATGAGGAGATTCAAAGGTAAAATACCAGAGAAATAAGATTTTCACAGTTAAAAGCATTCTGTTTGTGGATAGAACCACATCTCCATGGTCAGAAGTCCTTTAATTCACTTTCTTTGTCTCATGCTTTCAGAAAAAGCCATGCCCACATCGCACAGTGAGTTGGACGATGAATTGGCTGCTATGCAGGGGACACAGGATGTCCAAGGACACAGCGTCAAAACTCTTGCCAGGCCTGACGAAAGGAAGGCAGATGTTATCCTCAGCAGGGATGGAAAATCAAGATTGGGGGGATTTGTTGCAAGGTCAAGGTCACCTGCTCCAACAGAAGTCAATAGGGACAGGTCAAGGTCACCTGTAAAAGAGCAGCCAGTGGCAGGGGCTAGTAGGTCAAGGTCAAGGTCACCAGCACCAATCAGCAGTGGACAGGCAGTGACACAAAAAGGTATGCAGTAATAAATCAGTGGTAAAAAGCTAAACATATAATATAAATCTTAGTTTCAACCCTTCATCAAAGGACCTTGATATTTATTATTATTATTATTATTAATTTTTTAAAGTAATTGAGCTGTTGTAACTTATGTTGTAATCTATCCCCGTGGGGATTCTCACTAGATTACTGTCACATTAGCCAGCTTAAATGTCTGTCTCGCCTACTAAAAGCTGTAAGGGGGTAATTAACTTCCGTGCACACTCGGCTAACAGCAATTTAGCGTGAACCCCAGGGAGTTAGGTTGATCCAGATGGATCGATCTAAATCTGTGGGAATGCAGTCTTAAAGAAGAAGAGTGCCTGGTATATCCCCAGTGGTATTTGACCAAGTACATGAAGCACTGATATTGTATTCATTGATTATAAGAGGGGTTCTCGTGAGAGATTGATTGTGGCTGGTGGGACCACTAGAGTGCTACCCTCCTGAGATAATATCAGTACCATTCCCTGATATCTCTTATCTGTTTTCTCTGCCACTGAACTGGGGATTTTTTCCTTTTAGAGCGGATTTTTTTTTAAAATTATTTATTTATTTATTTTTTTTTTTTTGGGGGGGGGGGGGGAGGAGTTCGTTCTTTTAGATATTTTGGGTTTTGCTTAATTTTGAGCACCCCCACACCACCACTGGTTCAGGAGCTATGGATTGATGAAGGTTCACTCTAGAATAAAATTCTAAATCATTTTAGCAAAATTAGAATTTTGAACTGAATCAGTGGCAGCTTTAACTTAAAACAGTAAACATATAAGAAAAAGGGTTTAGTCTAGTAATTGGTGAAAAAATTTACAGCATATTTTTGGAACTGTTCTCTCACTCGTGATTCTTGTTCTACCGATGGTTGAAAACTTGATGAATTTCAATCAGGAACAAGGCTCAGTTATTATGTTTAATCTATGTGATTAACTTAAAACCTGTTTGACTGCAGCCAGATATTTTGATTTCCTTTTTGTAAGCCAACCATGAAACTTTTGGATCAGTAATTCCCTTAAGGTAATACAATATTGCATTGGGAAGTTCTGGAATTTAATTTTTGTGTTTGTGTGATATTATACTTCGAGGCAAAATGATATTTTTGATCACATAATTAACTTGAGATTTTGATGAATAAAACTAATCTGGGAATTAGGAAATGTTTTGAGAGTATTCCTCTCACTGAACTTGATTAAAAAACATTATTACATTATATATAGAATCTCTTTACTTGACTTCCACGCCCAGGATTTCCCTCATACCACCTTCAATGAAATTTGTATCCTTTTGTCCTACACACATGAAATAGTAATTGTTCACATTGTCATACACTTTCATCATCCTAATGTCCCTTTGGTCAGGAAGGTTTGCTCCAATATGCGTGTTAGGCATTTGATAGCATTTTAAGATCTACGTGATCCCATAATGGACTACACTATGTAATTGCTTTGGCTCTTGCAAAATGAATTCTGCTTCATGGTGATATTTCACGGCGATCAATAATTTTTGGTAGCCAGGGGAGGTTGCTAAGATGAGAACAAACATGTTCTGCTCCCGGGCTTTTTAGTAAATGTCGACTGATTCTAAGTAATCAATCAAACGCTAAAAGGTTGAATGTAGATGAAGTTCGTACCCCTTGGTATCTTTGTATAAATTGCCGGGTAGTTTGGGGTAGGTTTGTAACTTGTGGAAACATGGGATGGATGACCACTGTTGAAAGAATTGCCTTGGTATGTATGTATAAGTACCTGGTACTCTTTTTATACAATTAATGTTTTTGTTTTTTATTGGAAAACCAAAGTACATAGTTTCAAGCTATTTTATTTTCAAATTTAACTAATATGGTTAAATTCAACATTTTTGCAATTAAAAGCTACTTGCCTCGGTAGAAGGTATTTTTGGTTTTGCTTCCATTATGGATCCTTTGTTTGTTGTCCATTAGTTAGAAAATCTTACATTTGAATATTCTAATTGATCAGAATCTCCCCAGGAACATTTTTTTCTGAACAATTGCACATAGACAGTAAATACCAATAGATGAGATCTAAAACGGCAGTGTGTGCTGCCAGCAATGTTGTCGATTTCTCTTTTTTTCCCTCTCCAATATCAGAGTTGTCGAAGTACAGTGTTTTGCATGCCTGTGAACACTGAGGCAATAATATTAGTCACTGTTGTAATCTATAGAATTCGTCTCCTGCTATTGGCAGTATTCAGGATGAATAAATCCCTAGTTAGGGCATGCAAACACATTTTTTGTTTTAACATTTGTAGAGCAACTGATTGCAAAATTTGTGCAAAACTATGAGTTAAGAAAATTGATTGAAAGTTGTGAAATATATCAGAGCAGTTCACACTAGGACTGATCAAGATCGATACTTAACTGACACCGTAGTGCTGTCTCACTGACTTCTAGCCTTGGGAAGACTTTTGAATGGCATTCCACTTAACTTAAACCCCTTTTACACTGGAAGGTGTCCTTTGTGCGTCCTTTGTGCCGCCATGACACTGCCATCTCTGTAGTTGTAGTAAAGAGGCACAAGCATCATTTAGGTTTCAGAACAAATGCCCATTGAACAACCAAATGTCGGCACATAAAGTATTTTTTTTTTTTTTTTTTTTTTTTACTCTCAAACGGTGCCATACTATGGGACGCAGAAAGGACATAGTCCAGTGTAAAGGAGGGAGGTGGGGGGAGGGGTGGGTGGGTGCAGCAGGGATTAGAAAGGGTAATAATGGTTAGAAATTGTTATCAAGTGGCTTGCTGAGATGAGACAAGATACAAAGTTTTCTAGACTCATCTCCACTGGAAATGAAGTCACCAGGCTGATGAATTAAACACTTAGCGGGCCGCTTCCCCCCTCTCACTCTTATGGCTTTTGAATCAATTGTCAATTAGCAATATGGTGTCAGTTATTCTGATTCTTGCCTGATTAACAACTTGTGTCATACGGTCTCTGAATAGGCTTCCCTATGTTGTAAAACTTCAGTCCAAGCTAGTATGGTGGTTCTTTGGTGTCAGTTACTTCAGTGGGAATTATCCAAGTGAACCCCAAAGCTTAGGTACCTTGTGAAGTCAAGTGAGACATCATGAGATATCAAGGGGAGAAATAATGACAGAGTAGCCAGTGCAGTAAAGCAGTGACTGACTACAAGTTGACAGAATTTTAACCACAGATGTATTTCTGGTCTTCTTCTATTACGGTCTGTTGAATAATATATATTGTATTCACCATGTTTTGTGGGAACTTTTTACATAGTTTTTTTCCTAAGATGACATTCCTGGTGAAAAGTATCCCCACTTCACACAAATTCTTGCACATTTTCTATTCTGATATGACATCACAGTGCTCATTGTAAGTTATTTCAGATAAGTTCATCCATGTCTACCCTGGATATTTACCACTTGTGTGAACTTGTCTCTAAACTTCCCACTGGTGTAAAACACTTCAGTCAGAAATAAAGCAATAGGACAGTCTGGTGATGTCATTAAGTCTTGATTCCAGTCTGATTTACTACCGTTGTGAATCTGTCCCTAGAGACACTGGAGGTGTAAACCACTTCTCACCGCTCCATCTGTCTGTCAGGTTTTATCTGGAAAATTGCATGCTTCAAGCTGGTTAGATGTGTATTGATTGCTGATACATTGATAAGAACAATATTGGGGATATCCTCATGGTGAACGGATAATGCAGTTAAGCTCCCTATCTCAGCCTGTATCAACAGAAAACATCTGTGGGTTGATTTCACTTTTTGCTGAAAATAATAGATATGAAGCACTTACTGCGATGATTGTGAAGTTAACTGAAGAACGTGGGTTACATGAAACCTTTTATTCTCAGACTGGTCGAATTGAACCAGTTTGTTCGCTTTGAGTATACCGTTTTTGCCAAACACTGTCTGGCATTTTCAAAGAGCAATAATTACATTGGGCAGTTATCTTATCTGCTCTTTATGTATCCATCTGTTAGTGACCAGTTACCATGGAATTAATCCATTCAAAAATTCATATATCCTATGTATTTATGCTGTATTGGCATTTCAACTTATCCAGTTTCAAATGAAATAAGTTTATAGTTGTGTTCACAACTGGAGTAAATCAGACCAGAAGTTGACTTTATAATATCGCCAGAAAGTCATAGGGTACCTATCCCGACTGAGTGATCTATTTATTTATATGTGTATTAGAATCCAGGATTTTTATAGAAGTTTTTTTTATTGAGTATTGGGTCATTTCTGAACCTCTCAATATAGTTATGAAATGTGCGGATCTACTGATTGTTCATGATGGTAAAAGAAACCATGAAGACATAATGCATTTTTTTTTTTGCATTGATTACTCTCTCACTTTTATTATGCTCAACTCTGCAGAATACAATCTTAAATCAGGAGTGGTACAAACCCTGCTAAGAAGCTGCTAACAGTGACATCATTTTTGTTGGCATTGATTTTATAATTCACTTTCATTTCTTCTAATTTCAGTTCCTCCTAAGTTAAAGAGCCTGGTAAACGCTGTTGGCCAAACCGCTGCAGAAAGATTTGAGATTCTTGATACAAGGGATAAGCTCCTAAGACAAGGTAAGAGCATATAAGTCGCTAGTCTCAAGGCAGTTGTTTTACAGCTTATTATAGCATTTTTATGTGAAATCTGTTGATGTTCTGTTAATAAACTGGTCCACATGTGAGCAGTTTCCCATGGTTTTCTACATGAACTTGGAAAAACATGCTTTTAGATATGATCTGAAAGAACTAAGTGAATCAGGTGAGTCGTGTTGTATATCTTTTGTTTTCCATCCCCAGTATACAAGTGCAGCCCCTGTAAAGACGTGTTTCAAACATCTGTTTGTAGTATCGCTCTATATATTTTAGATTTATCTTCACATTTATTAGGAACAATATGTTTTAAGTATGGTGATGATCGAAGCTTCATTGGGAACCTACAGTGAACTGGAATAATATTAATTATCAAGATCTGTTTCCTGTCTTCTTTTAGACAAAAGCAACCCATGATATCCCTGTAGAAAAAAAAGAACCTCCACCTTCATAAGAAGTGACTTATTGTTGACAGTTCCCTGATTAATCTGCCTACCTAAATCAAGATCATTTTAAAGGAATCATCACTTTTATCTTTGTCCAGTCAAAAGAAATGCCACCTGAATCTGACTTCTGATTTATAAAAAGAAAGGAAATCAATTTTAATCTGTATATCACTTGTATAAAATGCAAGTTTTGCTTCATTTGGTAATTACATGGCCAAAAAATTATGATCTATACCTATGTAAAGCAAGTATCATGACATTTCTTGAATTGCGAATGATTGCTAAGGTAATTTACTGTAAACATGGACTCTTGATGGACTGTCAGGTCTGTGTGGGAGCCATGATGACATGCACTGTTTTTTTGTTGCTCTTCCTGAGCTTTTAGTACCCTAATATCTTTTTAATGAGAATCAATTCATTAAGTGTCACAAAAACTACCGTGTGGGCACCAGCGATAGCACATGTGATCACTAATTAAAGCACTTGTGTATCTGGGGAAATTATGTTTTATAGAGGAATTTGCTAATGCGGTTCTCTCTCTCTCTCTCTCTCTCTCTCTCTCTCTCTCTCTCTCTCTCTCTCTCTCTCTCTCATTTGCCTTTTCAGATGGTGCAGATATACATTTAATTAATAACCTTCTTAGTTTCCTTATTTATTTATTTATTGTTATTTTCATTTATCTATATTGTAGGTGACATGTATTCATTCGTTTCCTATTTTAAATTCTTCTTCCATCCATCCACCCATTCATTTTTTCCTTTAAGCATTTGTTTGGACATCTATACCACTAACTTTTGTGACCCCTATACTATTTGGAAGCCAAAATGTTTTTGAATGTACATTATTTTATGTAAGTATTTAAATGACACTCTATCAGAAATAGTCAGTTTTTTTCTCTCTCCTGGGTCTGTTATATGAACTGTTCAGACATTTTTCCTAGAAGATGGTTTTATGCTAGGTGAATCACTGGCTGACATTTAAGCTAACATTACACCTTTTTTGTTTTTTAATATTCTTGATGTTTCATTTCTGTGAAAGTGCAGGTATATTTTGATTTACTCGGAAAGCAGATCCACTTACAGTGCTGTAAATGCATGGGTGATCTATAATATATTTAGCCGTTCCGTGCAACCCTTTTTGCTCAGATAACAGAACCATTAAATGAAGCTTATAGGTAACTAAAGCATTTAATTTGGCGTTTGTTGATTATAAAGCATCTATATAGCTGAGATTCTGTATTTTATAATTTTCAGGGAAGTCGAAGCAACAGGACATTACCAAGGTGAAGGCAGTGGTGGGGGTGTGTCCTGATATGTGCCCAGAGCGAGAACGTTACATGAGAGAAGACAGACGAAGATTACACCACTTTGAAATTATGCTGGGAAGCGAGAGTGTGAGTATAGCTCAGGTTGCACTTACTCAACAGTGCTTGTGATGAGCATAAGGTGTTTGTAAAACAAAAATATAATTTTTGTAAAAATTTCAAAATTTTTCTCTTTATTACAAAGGTGTATTTTATTCAAAATAGTTCACAGAATTGCTATCCATTAGCCTTTATCGAGTACTAATTTTCTATTTTTCAGTCACTTATTAACGGTAATGTAAACTGATGATTTTCACATATGGCAGCAAAAATTAGAAACTTAGAACTGAAAATTGGGTGTATAGATCATAATTTGCTCCATATGTTTTGATAAAGTATGGACTTAATAAATTGAATACTTAAAATTTCCTCGCAGATTATTTTTGGCTATATAAAAGTCTTATACAAATTGTGTACTTTTAGATGATTTGTTATTATTGAGTTTAATGGTAAAATCAATGATCGGATGAGGAAAGTTTCCAAAATAGTCTTAAAGTCTTGATCCTTACTCGGATCCTATCACATTAAATCACTACAACTTCCACATTCTGCCATATTGGGCATCTCAGCTCTAAAGATTTATCACAGCATTCTAATTAATTACCAAATTAATTCCATTCCAATCTTTTGAAACAAGATAATCACATTGGTTGATATTAAGAGTCTAGCAGAGGGAGAATTTATTAGATTGTGAAGAGGTTTGCTGGTATTGTTTTACAGTAATTGTTATTGATCTTTGAGACTGTGTTATCTATCATATGCTGTCTTGGGATCTCTGTCAAGTGAGCCTTATCCGTTAGACACCATTATTCTAAGATGTCCTAACTGTATTCTTGGCTTGACAGTGAAAGATTTGCTGGACCAAGTGACCTTGAAACTTGTTTGTCTGCCTGAAATTGTGTTCTTCTTCCCAGGAAATTGTTTGTCTGCTCTAAAATATATCTGTCTTAGATGTCTGTCTGCCCTCAAAGCAAATTTTGTCCTTCCAGAAATTTGTCTATACCTGGTGATTGATTCTCCTTATACAAAACCTGCCCTGCCCCCCTTTGTTCTCCTCGAATTCTGTCTTCCCTTAAATCTTAATATTTCTTTGAAATTGTATTTATTTCTTAGAAATCAGTTTGTCCTCTCTAAAATCTGCTGATCAATAAACTTGATTGGTAACCAGCCATTATAATTAGTACCACCAGCGTGTACTCATGGTTTTAGTCCCGACCCGTCTCGTACAGCTCCGCCGGCTCCTGCGGCTCCACAGTCGGGTGCCGGAAACAAGTCACCGTTACCGCTTCTCCTCCTAGACCGCAAGGACCTATGTCCCCATCTCTTGAATTTAGGTCACATATAATCTCAACTTGAACCCCCTGGTTTTTTTGTCTCTGTGCATTGGCCTGGGCGTGACGTTTGTTGAAACGCACCCTTGTCAAAAATTTTGAAAATTCAATGTAAAATATCTCCCAAACCGAAGGAATTATGGGAAAAATTTCTATAGATGACTGACTGAAAATCATATTGGAGATTTCAAATATGCCCGCGGATTTGACCTTTGACCTTTATTTTAAGGTCAAATGGGCCAAAATTTTCTAAAAATGGGAAATTTTTGCAAAAAAAAATTTATTTCTGCTTTTTTTCAGAAACTGTGCAGATCTAATCTATAATATTATGGACAGGTGTTAGGGTCATCTTTCATCTTCATGAGTTTAGGGTCAATCGGTGCATTTTCACGGGAGTAGCAGCCATTAGATGCCGAAACTGAAAACTCTCTCTAATTCTGGATCCGTTAATGCTAGAGACCTCTTGTTTTTTGCATTTTGAAGAGCTTATCAAGTGCAACACTGATGGTGGTATCTGTTTTTTTGTTTTCAATACGGCTTAGGCATTGCACTATATCAAAAAGTTCAACATCTGATATTCAGTGATGAAAATAAAATGTGAAATACTCCAAAATTAGCAGAGATATGCCCATAGTTACTATTGAACTTGAATAGGAAGTCATATACTGGTAATCTAACTGTGACCTTAAAATTGACCTTTGACCTACTTTTCATGATGAACTGCACTTTGCAAGTTTTCTGATCTTTATATCTCCAAAACTGGCAAAGATACGCCCAAAGTTACTATTGAACTTGAATAGGAAGTCATATACTGGCAATCTAACTATGACCCTGACATTGACCTCTGACCTAATTTTCACCATGAACTGAACTTTACAAATTTTCTAGCCCTTATATCTCCAAAACTAGCAGAGATAAGCCCATAGTTACTGTTGAACTTGTATAGGAAGTCATATACTGGCAATCTCATTGTGACCTTGAAATTGACCTTTGACCTTCTTTTCACCATGAACTGAACTTTTCAAATTTTCTATCCCTTATATCTCGAATACTGGCAAAGTTACTATTGAACTTGAATAGGAAGTCACATACTGGCAATCTTACTGTGACCTTGAAATTGACCTGTGACTTACTCTTTATGATGAACTGCACTTTGCATGTTTCCTGGCCTTCATATCTCCAAAATTAGCAAAGAAACACCCTTAGTTACTGTTGAACTTGTATATAGGAAGTCATATACTGTGACCTTGAAATTGACCTTTGACCTACTTTTACACCACTACTTTTTGCCCCTCATATCTTCAAAACTAGCAGAGATCTGCGCAGTGTTGTCCCTAGGTTTTCTCTTTTGTCAGCATATATGCAACACTGATAACGCATTTCAAGGAAAACCAATAGGCCTATTGTCTAGAAAATCACAGGAGTGATCAATGTTAGGAAAATACAAGTCAATTTGTACATCTGCTTGATTGGACCATTTTAACAGTTATGTTTTTTTTTTTGTTATTTTATTTATTTATTTATTTATTTTTTTTTTTGCATATTTTGAGAACTCTTGTTTATTGAATTTTATAGAGCTTATCAAGCATAAGACTGGTGGTGGTGTCCCTTTTTTTTGGGGGGGGGTCCATACTAATGTGCTTACTCCAGCTGGTGGTACAATATCTGGAGGCGGTATCGCCTCTCTGATCCTCTAGTTTGAAATGGTCAAAGGGATTGAAAGACAATAAAAACATGTTATTCCTTGTAACTAAAACAGTTACTGTAGTTCTGCTACAGGCCTTAAAGTTGAGGCGTTTACTTACACTACCCATAGATCTTTTAGCACAAATACCCATATTAACCACATAACTCACAAATTAACCAGTACTACCAGAGCAGATAAATGTTAATGCTAGGTATCGGTTTGTTGGTGCTAAATAATTGTATGGTGTGTATCCACTTTAAGGCATTTATGATTGTATGTCAAGACAATTGTTAAGTGTATTGAATCTTTGGGTCTTTATTATTATATAAATGTAATAATAGTGATATATTTGTAAAATAATTGTTGCACTTCTCCCATCAGTTGTGTAATCCATGCAATATGACCAAAGGGCATCTGTTCCTACAGATTTTCAAGCTATGAAAATTGATAAATTTATATATAATGAAACCACTCAATCCAGACGTCGAGAGAAATGATACCAAGTTCAGAGTCCCTTAGGAGATGTCATACATTTACATTATTTATATGAATCCCACTTCCTGGTATAATAATGACTTCACTCAGCAGCACTTACTGAAGCAAAATTGTAATTTGTGCCCCAGATATCTGCAAACCGTGCACTCATGCAAATCTTCATTAGATCTAGGGACCATCACTCTGAAGATGTCTTGTTCCTTTGATACACTCATCTCTGATCAGATTAATTTGTATTTTTCCTGGAAGTTTTCCAGAATTTTTAGATGTAGTAGATCTTCTCTCTGGACATTCCAGCTGCATTTTTTTTTTTTTTTTTTTTTTTTTTTTTTTGTCTT